CGTGGCCGCGCTGCCCGCCATGAGCCTGGCGTGCCTGGCGGGCACGGCCATCCACGGGCTGGAGGAGCGGGAGCTGGACACGCTCAAGAACCCCACCCGCAGCCTGGACGTGGTGCTGCTGATGGGCGCCGCGCTGGGCCAGACGGGCATCGCCTACTTCTCCATTGTGGCCATCGTGGCCACCCGGCCGCACGAGCTGCTCAACCGCCTCATCCTGGCCTACTCTCTGCTGCTGATCCTGCAGCACATCGCCCAGAACCTCTTCATCATCGAGGGCCTGCACCGGCGCCCGCTCTGGGAGGCAGCGCCCGGAGGCCCGGCGGGGAAGCGGGAGGCCGAGCCTCCCCGCAGGGGCTCCCTGCTGGAGCTGGGCCAGGACCTGCGGCGCGCCTCACTGGCCTACATCCACTCCTACAGCCACCTCAACTGGAAGCGGCGAGTGCTCAAGGAGATCTCACTCTTCCTCATCCTCTGTAATATCACAGTGAGTAGCTGGGCTGAGAGGTGGCGGGGGGTGTGCGGAGCTGGCTGGGCCGATCCAGAAAGTCTCACTCAGGAACGGATGGATCAAGCACACACACCTCTTTCCAGCTAGCTTGATGCTGCTTGAGAGTGTCTCCCCAGCTCCCCACAGGTGCCTGGCATGAATGGACGTGCCAAGCACATAGCTAAGTGCTCCTCACAAACAAAATACATAGGGTTTCCATCCTCAGGAAACTTATTGTCTAGCTGAGGACACACCAGCGGACCAGTTAAGACAATTACCACTGAACTCATCAGCCGCTGAATTCAGACAAAGGCAAACATCAGAGAGCACCTGACTTTCTAAGGAGTTCCTAGTGGAAGATGCTGACGATTGCCCAGCTTCTGGTAACTGCTAAGTGGTCCCAGGTCCACTTCTCCTTGCTTCATTGCATCAATACAGTAACCCCATGCGACAGGCACTATTATTGTTCCATTTGACAGGTAAGGAGACAGGGTTAGGTTGGTGTACCTGCCCAAGGTCCCTCAGTCTGTAAGTGGCAGTGCTGGCATAACTCAGGGTTGTTTGACCCCAGCCCCTAACGCACTGAAAATATACCCCTGATGTGAAACCTTTGGTCCAGGCAGAGAATAAATAATTAATTGGCTCTAAAGTGTACTAGGAGCTCAGAGAAGGTTTGTGTGGCCCAAGATGGCTTCATGAACGTTTGATCTGAGCCTTGAGGAATGGGTAGGATTTGGAAAGGAGGGCCGGAGGTGGAGATTGCAACTAGCAGAAATGTGAAGCCAAGCTCAGGGCACAGGGGATTCCAGCTTGACAGGACAAGCTGCATGCTGGGAATGCCTGCCACACACGCTGTGTGGCCCCGCCTGGGATCTCCTGGTCTATCTAGACTTCAGGCTGGCCCCAGGCAAGCCAAAGAGGTGCCTGAGGCCTTCTGTGGTATGGGGTGAGGAAGATATGGAGGGACAGGATCTCGCTCTGAAGGCCCAAGGTTGGGCTGGGTGCAGGGGCTCACGCCCGTCATCCCAGCACTTTGGGAGGCTGAGGCAGGAGGGCTGCTTGAGGCCAGGAGTTCGAGACCAGACTGGGCAATATAGCAAGACTCTGTCTCTAAAAAAGAATTAATGAAAGCCCAAGAGTTGGGGGGGATGGGGATGGGGAAGCACTGGAGGAGCCATAGGTTAGCTGGGTCCCTGAGGGCACAGGAGAGTCCCTCCCTGACTCAACCCCTTCCTCTCCCCAGCTATGGATGATGCCGGCTTTTGGTATACACCCGGAGTTTGAGAACGGGCTGGAAAAGGATTTCTATGGCTACCGGACATGGTTCACCATTGTCAACTTCGGCCTGCCTCTGGGGGTCTTCTACCGCATGCACTCTGTGGGGGGGCTGGTGGAAGTCTACCTGGGGGCCTGAGGCGCCCCAAGAACCCACGCCCAGCGAAGCCCTGAAGTGCCAAGGCAGGGGAGAAGGTAGCCCAGAATCTCTGAGCAGATGCCTCATTCCCAGTGATGCCAAGGGCAGCCCGGGCCTTTCGGGGCCTCCCCTCCCCAGAGCCAAGACCAAGGGTGGGGGCCTGGACACTGAGCTTCTGATGCCCACACCCAGCATCCTGCCCTTCCCACCGCAATCTGCGAGCCAGGGGTGCAGCCCGGGTCGCTGGCAGGGACCCCCTCACAGCTACTCTGGGGGAGTGGCAGACCAACATGACAGAGTCGGGGAAGTCTGAAGAGGGGTGCCCCTCCCCCAGCCAGGCCTCAGGGGGTCTGCGTCCTGATGCAGGATGCGCACCTGGTCCAAGTGTGGCCCAGGACATCCTGGAAACTCGGAGCTCAGCGAGCGGCCCTGCCTCTTTTCCCCACACCCTGTCTCCTAATGAGCTCATTAATTAGCTGCCAGGCAGAGTTCAACAGCTCTCTCCTGCTGCATAAACCCTGTTTGCTTGATTGATTACGTTTGGGCTTCGTGGCTTTTGTTCCCAGGGATCGGACTGCCACTCCAGGCATGGTGAGAAGGAACAGTCCTTCTGGGCGGGGCTGTGGGGCGGGAACAGTTCCATTCCTGGGCCAGGAGGGGTCTACAGCCAGCCCTTTCCTCGCCTGATCCATGAGAGGCGTGGGAAGAGATGGTCCGGGGCTTCCCAGCACACCGTCTCTCTGGGGCAGTGCTAGGGTGACATTCTGCAGCGGACTCGCCATGGAGGCTGCCATCTCTGGCGGGCCCTATCCTCTGAGCCGTCGGGCGGGGCAGGAGGGGGAGGGAAAGTGCAGCACTGCCAGCCCATCCATCTCCCTGAGCCTAGTGCAAACAGCAGGCTGTGCCCAGGGTGAGGCCCAGAGAGGGCAGCCCTGGCCCTGCAGGGGAAGCTCTGCCCCTCCTTCTCATCCCCTCCCAAGAAGCAAGACTCAGACTAGCACAGGGACGCAGCCCCAGCCCTCCCCCCGCCAACTCCCTTAGCCCTGTCTCAGTGGCGGGGCAGCCCCTTGGCCTCTCCATGTGGAATTTTTCTGTGGGTGGCCACAGCCCGGGGACCCACACCCTATGTGACAAATGCTGGCCCTCTGAGAACTGACTCTGGGGTGCAGAGTCCCCAGCTCCTGTGAAGACAAGTGCCATGGCCTGGCCCCTCTCCTCAACTACAGAGAGACAAGAGTGTGGAGAAGGGAGTTTTATTGTGTAAAGAGACCGATTGTACAGAGCAAAGATTGTACTGACACAGGTGGGGTGAGGGAGACCCAGAGGCCAGAGCCAGGGAGGATGGAACGGTGGCATCTCCCCATCAGCCAGGCAGTGGGCAGGGCAGGGAGGGTGGAACAGCTGTTCCCTAGTTCCCTCCCCACCCCCCAGCTTCTACTGGGTAGGAGGGAGCCAGGCTGGACCCACTGACCGGGAGAATATAGGAGACCCTCAACACCCCACCCCAGACGCCCAGAATACGTGAGGTCCCCCAGCCTGGCATTTGCAGTCTGCCAGCCCCCAGTCTCCGCAAGGAGTAGCCCAGCCAAATTTTTCCCCCATGGTCCCTGATAGGGAGTGGGCCTGGAGCAGGCCATTTCAGTGAGGAGTCTGGGACGGACTCCCTTCACCCTGTCTAGGTGCCTCAAGGGACAGCCATGGCTCCTTGGGCAAACCCATCAGGGCACAGTGCCCCGGTGACTTCTGGGGGTGGGCACTGAGGAGCCAGCACAGAACCAGGTCTTGAAGGGGGAGTCAGAATGGGGGGCTCCCGGTGGGACCTGTAACCTGTGAGTCCATCCTGGGGTGTGAGGGGATCAGAACCAGTCCAAGTCAGCCCCGCCAGGCCCAGGGGTCCCTGGGGGCCTGCCTCCCAGGACTCAGCCACTCTGCTGTCCCAGGCCCTGATTGTGGTCATTTAAAGCTCAGAACAGTGGGTTGGGGGATGCATCAGGGCCCAGGGTCCCACCCTCCCCTGGACCCAGCCCTCAAAAGTTCCATGGTCACACCCGCTGGATCTCAAACAGCTTCACGTCAGTGTCATACCACACGGGTGGGTCCACATTCCTGAAAGGGAGTCAGGGCCTGGGGGTGACCAGGTGCCAGGATGCCTCAAGAAAAAGACATCAAACAGGAGCTCAACGGCAGGGATGCCCAAACCAAACCCCTCCATCCTGATGTCCCCGGGCAGTGGGTGCCCACCCTAACCAAACAGGACCACCTTGGTTGATTGTCTTGACACAAACCCCACTACGGGTAGCGGGTCCCAGAGCTGAGGTCCCACTGAGCCCAGCTGGACAGGCCCTCCGGTGCATACCACACCCACCCAGAGGGTCACTGCCCGTCCCCGGGGACCCACCTCAGATAGATGACGCCCCACATGTAGGTGCGGAACCACATGGCTGTGCCCGAGTTGGCCTGGTACTTGCGGATGAGAATGGGGTGGGGCACGGGCAGCAGCCCCACCAGGGTGCCATGCTGCAGGAACCGCAAGATCTCCGACTCGTCCGTCAGGCCCCTACGGGGGGAGGGAGGGGTCTCCAACATGCGTGCTTGGTCTAGAGGAGCGTGGGGCTCACCCTGCACCCATGAAGCCCATGCTTCCCATCACACCCACACCCAAGCTGGGCTGGCCCCTCCCCAGAGCCCACCTGCCCCAGGCCTCCAAGACTCCCGCCGCCCCCACCCGGTGTCACCCACTTGTCGATGCAGATCTTCTCCACCTGCGGAACCAGCACCTGCAGCAGCCTCATGATGGTCTGCAGCGGCAGCTTAGACTTCCAGGAGAGGACCTGGGGGGGACCAGCATTCCAGGGCTGGGAAAGCAGCCCCCAGAGGCTGCGAGACAGGCCTGACCCTGACCCTGACTTTGAACCAAGGCTCCCCAAGACAGAAAGCGTTCCCATTCCCGGTAGCAAGGGTCTGGCCCCAAGCAGGGCCTGCAAACTATAACTTTTTGTTCTCATTTTTGAGTCGGGGTCTTACTCTGTTGCCCAGGTTGGCACAATCATGGCTGCCGCAACTTCAACTCCCTGGACTCAGGCAATCCTTCTACCTCAACCCCCTGAGTAGCTGGGACTACAGGAGCACACCATCATGCCCAGCTCTTTTTTTTTTTTTAATTTTGTAGAGACAAAAATCTTGCTATCAAGCGATCCTCCCACCTTGGCCTCCCAAAGCACTGGGCTGACAGGCATGAGCCACTGCACCCAGCCATAACCGTTATTCACGGCAAGAGCTGCAGCCCTACGTAGCAGGTACTGCAGGCCAGACACCATGCCACCTGCCTTCCAGAAGACCGCCCCCTTTAGCCCTCATAGCGGCATGATCAGGTAAGGATGGTTATTATCAGTGGCGACCTCAGAAACACAGGGAGTGGGGACCTGGGTCAGGGAGGGAAGTCAGAAAAGGCTGGGCAGCTAGAGCTTCATCCCGCTGAGGGACACTGGCAGACAGTGGAGACAGAGGAAGCAACTAAGACAGAGAGGGGCCAGACACATGGGAAGGTCACCCAGCCCAGCCAGAAGGACTGAGCCCCAGCTGGGCTCCCACACCAGAGTCCTCTGGCTTGGACACATCCTGTCTGAGCTCTCCGAGGGCCAAGGAGCCACGGACCCAGCCCCACCCTTGCTCCTCCGCCGCGGGGCCGCTCACCCACTCAGATGTTGGGCTCCACTGCAGACTGGCTGACGTGCTAGACAGCCGCCTCTGCTCCCTCCACGCCTGGCTGGGTTCCTGGCCCCCAGAAAGGAACACGGGTGAGGGATGCAGGGAGTGGGTATGGGGGGGTAGAGGGAGGGCAACGCGGTCTCTCCACAGGCCCCCCACGGTGGGGGGCCTGGCTCCCACAGAGGGAAGGCCCAGCCCAGCACCCTTTGCCCTGGGCCCCAGGCCCAACCCAGCCAGATGACAGGTTTAGGGCCAGGGGCTGACGGGGCAGGCTGGGTAAAGGCCAGCTCAGATAAGGATATTGGGCGAGGAGCCTGAAGGCCAAGGGCTTCCCCACGACCAGTAAACAAGGGAGGGGTCTGGGAAAGGCCTCTCGACGCCTGAGACGGTCAGCGGTGCCAACCCTGATGCCCCGGGTGCTGGGTGCCTGCCCCTCTGTGGCAGGTGACCTCAGAGTACGCCACCCAGCTCATATCACAGAGGCCAGGGAGGAAGGGAAGGCCCAGCCGCACCCCATTCCAGGCGTCCCCATCACGCACCCCCTCGGCCGGGCTGCCATCTGCCGAACTCTGCTGGGGCTCAGGCTCCAGGGACCGCAAGGTACCATCTTCTGACACCTGGGACTTCTCTGTCAGTTTATCGATGCCTGGGCGGGGGTGCAGGTGGGCGCAGGTGGGAGTGAGGACCCTGCCACAGTGGCCCTTCCAGCCTGGCCCTGTGAGGCGCCCTCTCCCCACCCACTTCAGAGGCACTGTGTCTGAGATCTCTAACGCCCAACCTGTACTGCCCCCCACCCGGAGCCCACATGCAGTCCCGAGGCCCTGTCCCCCACCAGGCTACCCTTCCTGGGCCCACCCGAGATCCCCATCCCCACCACTGTTGCCCAGAGATGGGGGTGGCACCCAAGACCCATCCCCTCCCCCAGCTGTGCCAGAATCCACACCCCCTGCCCCTCCTTCTAGCGCCAGACCTGGAGTGGCCACCAGGCTGGTCTTGAGGGTGCCCGGCTCTGCGGGGGCGGCAGGGCGGGAGCCCTCCATGGAGGCACCCTCCTGCGAGCCGGTGCGGGACAAGGGCTCGGGTGTCCGGCGACGTCGCTGCAGGGCCTTGTGGATGGTGGGGGGGTCGGTGGGCAGGTTGGCCAGCTGGTGGAAGGCGCTGCGCTTACGGATGATGGCGTAGACCAGGTTGGAGTTGCCTGTGGGGAGCGAGCACGCCTTGCCTCGGGAGGCCCCCTGCCCTCGCCCTGCCCGGTCCCGGTGGGCTTCCGGGGAGGGGGAGTTTGGAGGTCAGGAAGGTGTCTGCCCAGGGGCAGGAGATGGTGCGGGGAGCTGGAGAGAGGGTGCCGGGCCAGGCTGACCAGTCACATGTGCCCGCCATGGCTATCCCAGGACATTATGTGGCTGGAAAACAGCATCTGGCCTGAGCACCCCACCACACCCGAATCCTGGTACCTTCGAGACTCCCTAACCCAGCACGAAAGGAACAATACCTCCCCAGCACGGCAGTGTCCACACCAAGCCAGGTGGCCAGCGAGACGTTTGGGAGGACAGGGCTGGGTGTGCCTCTCCTGCCTTCCCACCACTGAATCCCTCCAGCCCTCAGGGAAAATGTACACGCTTTCCAGGGCCTTCAGGGCCCTGGCCACCTCTCTGGTCCTGTCTCACACCACACTCTTCTGCTTCCAGGTCAAAATCCCACCCCAGGGCCTTTGCACGTGTCCTCTCCCCCTGGAACGCCTTCCTACTCACCTTACCCCTGTTCACCTCTCAGAGGTCAGCACAGATTTGACTTATTTTGGAAACAGCAATAGTAACAGTTGCTAATATTTAAGTCACAAGGCACTGTGCTAAGTGCTTTCTGGGGGTTATTCTACTAAATCCTCCCAACATCCTCTGAGAGAGGGACTCTTACTATTGCTATGACCATCATACAGAGGAAGAAACTGAGGCTCAGAGAGGTTAAGGAATGTGCCCATGGTCACACAGCTGAGACCATCAGGGTCTTACCACTCTGAACCTTCCTTTTATCAAATTTAAGATGACCTCTTTGGGGGGATCCTGTACGCCAACCTCCGTGCGTCCACCCCCAGCTGTGAGCTCTACAGGGCAAGAAGCACATCTTTATTTCCTACATATCCCCTGTATCGGGTACACTGCAAGTGCTCAATAAATGCACACTGAATGAATGAACCGGGGGGCAGAGGGCCAGCAGACCAGTACCTCCCCGGAGGCCAGTTCCTCGGCCGTGCTCTCTCTTCATGAGAAGGTGCCCTCGTCCACCGGCTGACCTGATCCCTGTCCCCGCGGCCAGCCCAGGGGCTTGGGCTTGGGCCTCACCATCAAACTGGTACTGGATAATGTTGTTGAAGACTTCCAGGAGGAAGAAGACCAGGTGGTGGTTCTGGGCGGCAGAGTAGAGGAACCAGGTGGTGGAGAAGGCCTCTAGCAGGTGCAGCAGCTTGTTGGCAGTCACCATGGACAGGCTCTTGAGGTAGGGAGACACTACAGGGAAGGAGTCGGCTCACTCCCGGGCGCCACCGGCCAGGCCCGCACTTCCTGCGCCGGGGCGGAACAGCACGCTCCCGCGGCCAATCCCTCCCTGCCCCCGGCAAAGCCAGGAAGACCGAGCCCCTAGAAGCCAGTGCCACGCTGGCCACACTGCAGAGCCCTGGGAGGCAGCTGGGCTCCACCCTCACCCCACGAGGACAGCCGTCCTGTTTACAAAGCCGCACACATCTCTTCTCTTTCAGTCCTCCCACAGCCAAGAGGGAGGCAGGACCCAGACGAGATCAACCCCATTTTACAGAAGGGGAAACTGAGGCTTGGGGAGGGTGACAAACTCACTCAAGCTCCCCAGTCATAAAATGGGCAGGGATACAAACTCAGGATTTCTTTTTTTTTCTTTTTTTTTTTTTTGAGTTGGAGTCTCACTCCGTCGCCCAGACTGGAGTGCAGGGGCCGCTCCCGGCCACCGCAGCCTCACCTGCTGGGCTCCGGCGATCCTTCCGTCTCAGCCTTCCAAGTAGCTGGAACTACAGGCGCGCGCTACCACGCCCGGCTGATTTTTTGATTTATTGTAGAGACGAGGTCTCGCGGCCCAGGCGGGTCTCGAACCCGCGGGTCAGGCCCTCCACTCACCTCGGCCTCCCAAAGGCGCGGGATGACAGGCTGAGCCACCGAGCCCGGCACGAGTAATTTTTATACCGGCCACAGGGTGAGATGCTGGCGTTTGGGCGACAGCGGAGGGAAAAAGCCCAAACAGTGGGGGGGCACCTGAGCCCGGGACCGGGCGGCAGGTGCGCCCGTGGCCCGGCCGCCCCCCGGTGGCGAGCGCGGGGATGCCCGGCCCCGGCCCCTACCGTTGACCACGATGGTGAGCAGGCAGTCGAAGAGGGGCTGCAGCCGCTGGTGCCCGCTGGTGATGATCTTGTGGAACACCTGTGCCAGGAGGGAGAGGACGGCCGTGGGGTCCCCACTGCCTCCGGGTCAGCCGGGGGGCGTCGCCCGCGCGCCACCGGCCCGGCCGCCTGAGTCCCCTCACCACGATGAGCAGGTCGGCGTGGGTTCCCGTGAAAACGGGGATGTCCATGGGCACGCGCACCGAGTAGGGCTTGTTCAGCCGCACCCCGAAGTTCCGCTCCCCGCTCAGAAGCAGCAGGATGAAGACCCCGATGTGCATCAGGCCCACCCGAGCTGCAGCGTGTGACACGGGAGGAGTCACGTGGGAAGGGGCGGGAGGCGGCCTGGGGCGGGGGGCCCATCTGGGGACGTGGCTGAAGGAAGCCCCTCCTGGGAGGTCCGACCACTAGGCCTGAGCTCCCCACCCTTCGGCCAAGAACACCCCCCACCCCCACCCTGGCCTTACACTGGTCGGCGCGGGCGTCATTGAGGAAGTAGAGGATGGGGACGAGGATATCCAGCACGTCGCTGCTCTTCAGCACGAAGAAGAGGAACTTCTGCGGGGGAGGGTTCGGGTGGGCCGGGTCAGTGGGAGCCAGCTCCGTCCCACCCTCTCCCTTTCAGGGCCATGCTGTCCCCGGCCCCAGGTTATCGGGTCAGCCACTCTACGGCCCACCGGGCTGGGCCCCTGGAGGCGGGCCCACCTTGTTAAAGTCACAGAGCTTCCAGAAGAGAACCAGCAGCTCCTGGTGGAACTGGATCTTCTTGGTCGAGTTGGGCAGGTAGGTCTGGAGCAGGGGGTTGGACAGTAGTCGGGCTATGCCCTTGAGGATGAACTGGAAGTCCTGGGAGGGAGGGCAAAGATGGGGACCTGTCCAGCCCGGCTCCGGTGACTGACCAGCCCAAGTCCCCCAGCGATGCCCCGTCACTCTCCCAGAGCCTGATCCCACCTCCAGAGCCTGAGGGGCCCGGATTCTGGCGTCCACAGCTGTCCCGGGGCCCCCTCCTGGGGAAGCTGAACCCCGGGGCAAGTCTGCCGCTCCACCAGGCCTCAGCCTTCCTGTCCCTGGGCTGTTACACACACACACCCGGGACCAGGTCCCTGCCCACCTGGTGCCCTCCTGGACTCATAATTGGCAGGAACCATCTTTCCACCCCTCCCCAAAATACTCTCCCCATCACCCACCACATGTGAGGCGCACTCTATTGTTCTTGAACAGTTGTCATTGACTGACACCTGCTGGAGCTGGGTTCTACTTTCTTCTTCACAGGGCGAGAAAGCAGCTATGGTTCCATTTTACAGCTGCAGAAGTCAGAGCTCTGGGCACTTAAGTCCTTCCCCAAAGCCACAAGACACACCAACTTGGGCCTGTGTGGCCTAAAGTCCCTTATCCACTGTCATTTCCCATTCCCCACCACGTCTGAAACTTGACACCAGAGCTGCCACCTCCTAGAAGCCTTCCGGGTTACCCCCACCCAGTGGAGCCCATCAGCCCTTCGTGCCATCTTGAAATCCTTGCTGTCCCGACATCACTATGTCGCCCGGTGTGGCCCAAGTCCACAGAGACTGTGATTCCTTCGTGGAGGGACCAGGACTCCTTGTACCCCTGTCCCTTGTCGCATGCCCTGCAAAGCCGTAACCAGTGCGAGCAGTGGGCAGGGAGAACCCGAGCGCCGTGCTGGACTCACCTCCTCACGATGAATGCGAGACAGGTAGTTCACAAACAGGTTCTCGGGGCCGGGAGGCTGCCAAGGTAGAAGCCCCAGGTGAGCAGGGGCCCTCGGCCGCCTCCACCCACAGCCCCAGAGGGGCCGGCCGCCCTCCCCCCACGCCCTCGCTCACGTCAGCATCGTCCATGGCGGTGCCTGTGGTGGTGCCGTCCACCGTGGGACTGGTGCTGGTGGCGCTGTCATGGTCCAAGGTGACGATAAGCACCTGGGCGGCCTCCTCCACCAGGGGCTCCCGGTAGTCAGAGAAGAGCAGGTGGTTGTAGGGGATCCCGTAGCCCACAGGGTCATAGGCACACACGGTGTTGAGGAGGGAGGTGAAGAGGGGCAGGGCGTGTCTGCAGCGGGAAGGGTGACACCTGTTCGTGCCCTTAGGGTCTTACGGGGCAGATTCCCTCCCCCGGGGGTTCCGAGATGGGACCGGAGGTCCCCAGAGAGCAGGAGCAGAACCCAGGGCCTCCCGCAGGAGCAGAACCCAGGCTCAGCCAACCCGCTCCCAAGCCACGGAACAACTCGATTCAGATTAGTGAGGTGTCAGGGTTCAAGCTCCTCATCTTACAAGTGAGGAAGCTGAGACCCAGAGAGGTTAAGTGAGGAACAGAGGTGGCAGTTTGCCTGATAAGGCTGGTGAGAAAGAAAACTCTGGTCAGTCTTTAACTCCGGGGGGGGCAGTTAAGCTGGGCTCCCTTCTCTTCTGGGGAAAAAGGTTGGGCAGAAAGACAGCAAAACCTGAAGGCTGAGACATGCCATGCGGGGATCAGAGCCTGGAAGTCAGAGGACCCACCGCCATCGCAGGGGCACTAACCCCGTGTTGCCAGTGCAGCCCTGGGCACAACTGGAGCATGGGAACTTGCTCAAATACTCGACCCTGCCATGGGGCTCATGGAAAGCCTCCATGGGCTCACATGTGCCCCACAGTCCACGAGCGCCCCCCTGTGGGCCGGGCCTCCCCATTCCTGGGGGCACTTGCCACACTCCCGCCCCTCCCACTGTCTAAACGGCAGGGTGCCACGTGGCGGCCGCGGGCCACAGGTAGCTAATGAGCGCTTGGAATGTGGTCGGTTCGAATCGAGATGTGCTGTAAATGTAAAACACACACTGGATTTTGGACACCTGGTAAGACAAAGGGAATGGAAAACATCTCGACATTTTGTATACTCATTACCTGTCAAATGCCGACACGTGGGGTATATTGGGCTTAATGAAATAATCGTATTAAAATCAGTTTCACCTTTTCAATTCAAAAATTGCACATGTGGTTTGCATTGCATTTCTACTGGGAAGAAGGATCTAGATGGAAGACCCGGACACAGGCCTCCGAGGGGCCCCTGGATGGAGACGCTGGACAGGCTAGTGTGAGGCGTGGCCGTTAAATGACAGCCATGACCGCCAGAGGGCAGCACCTCCCCTCAAATAAGACTCACAGGCCTAGAGCACGGTCTCAGCTCCGGGTTGCCTGGAAGGAGGAAGATCATGCAAAGAAGGGCCAGAGGCCACTCACCTGTTCTCCGTGGAGCAAAAGAACTGAACCCACGGGTTGCTGCTGCCACTTTCTGGGGCCGGGGGCAGGTACATGGCCTCAGAGAAGCACGTCAGCAGCAGTTTCAGCAGCTCCATCCTTGGGTGGGGTGATGGGAGGAAGGAACCTCAGGATTCCAACCTCCCTCTCAACTCCCCTCTGGGATGTGCGGCCCACCCTGCCCAGTCCCCCAGCCCAGGCCCAGGCGTGATCCCCGTTTATCCCTGTATGGCGGAGGTTGGGTCGCAAGTGGGGGCAGTCTCCCTGGAAGACCCCGTGGGCTCCCTGAGCTGTGTGGGGGCCTGGCCCAGGGTCCAGCTGTGCGAGGCTCTGGGCCTGAGTGAGCTCACCGGTTCAGGTCGTGGACGTAGTTAGGCTGCGGGGAGTGAGCAAAGCCCACGCCTGCCTCCCAGATGTACTCGCAGCTGTCCAGGGAGTGGACATCCTCCGCCGAGTCCTGGAGACAGGGCCAGGGAGAGGTCTGGTTAAAGAGCAGTGTGGGACAGAGCCCAGCCCAAGCCTCCTGCCATCCCTGGGGTGGGGACCTCAGATTCTCCTAAAGACAGATTCTCAAAATTCCCCAGACCAAAGCCAGGCTCAGTGACTCAGCCTGTCATCCCAGCACTTTGGGAGGCCGAGACGAGTGGATTGCCTGAGCCTGCGGGTTCCAGACCAGCCCCGGTGGCCACTTGGCGAGACCTCGTCTCTACAATAAATCAAAAATTAGCCGGCACAGTAGCACGCGTCTGTAGTGCCGGCTACTTGGAAGGTTGAGGCAGAAGGATCGCCAGAGACCAGCACCTCAACGCTGGAGAGGACATGAGTGTGCCACAGCACTCCAGCCTGGGCAATGCAGTGAGACTCCAACTCAAAAAGAAAAAAAATTCCCCGGGCCCTACTGTGCAAAGAAAGAAGTGAGTGTCCTTAGACCTCTTGAAGCCTCATTTTCCTTCACTTTTCCATGGTCCCTTCACTTGCTCTGCCCACCTCGAGACAGGAGGGACAGAAGGGGGAGGGACAGGGAACTGAGTGCACCTGGGGGTGTGTGGGGGTGGGATAGAGGACACTCAGGGTCAAGTCCACGGAGCCACAGGAAGTGAGAGGGCCAGGCCTGCTGCATCCCAGCCCCGCACCCCCACCCACCCCGGGCAGGCGAAGACAATGGGTGCCTGTGCCCAGCCACCCAGACAC